CAAGGTCAACCTAGGTCATCTAAGAAAATTGCGTTTTAGGCAAGCGGAATTTACTTTTTGTGATGTTTTTTGACTGCATTTTTGGTAAAAGCTTCTCAGATCATGATTGCATGTAATATGGACACATAAACAATCGGTGCACACATCAGTATACACACAGACACACACAGACATACAAACACATATAATTGACCTTGACCTAACTTGACCTGAAATGACCTCAGCAGCAAAAACCTGGTCGGGTAGTGTGGCAAAGAGGTTCTAGCTGGCTTGGCACCAGAAAACGACATCGTCATCGGTATATGATAGGCAATAGGCATGGCGCACTTGATATCCAACGGTGACCCAAAACAGCAACATTTTTTAGTTTGACCTGACCTGGAAGGTCAATGACTGACCTGAAAAGGTAACTCTGGGTATCATTGGATTCGTCGTTTCCCAAACAATCTTTTTGGTCGTTACCGCTAAGCTCTATCTCCAACAGGAACGAAATGGCGCGGGGGGTGGCACCCCCCCCCCCCCATGTGCGTTCTAGGATGGGAAAATGGCATGTGCGGGCGAGGGTTAAAAGCTTAAGACGACGAAGATATAGCCTGAAGTACACTAAATTTTCTAGGTGCAAAACCTACCGCTAAAACCCGCGAGACCTGTACATGCTGTCGACGCGGGGGGGGGGGGGATAAATCGAGGCTCAGAAACGCAGTAGTCGTTTGGGGTGCATGACTGGTAAAAGCTGCGGATGGTTTATCGTCCACGGTTCGATTAGAAATTTGTAGCCATTAGCGAGGAGCGATATACAATTTCGCGTTGAATTTAACTACGCAACAATGCAGTAACTTAACCCGCGCCCCGTAGGGCTACCGGCGGACCCTACCACCCGTAGGGGGGGGGGGCCGTATCGGCCCCCCCCTAAGATCTCGGAAAGTTACCGGCCGATTTTCAAAATTCAAACGGCGTTCGATAGCCCCACCCGGGAACTACCTTGTGACCAAATTTCATTGACCTAGGTCAAACCGATGACGTCACAGGTCAGGTCAAAGGTCAGATTTTCACCGTTCACAGGCAATTCAAGAAATGTGCTGTGAAAGCGAGTAAATTGGTAATTTATTGAAAACCATCGATGGTACATTGTTCGTCAAACACATACTTTGCTATCTGAGGTCACTGATACCAGGTCAGGTCACAGCGAGGTCAGGTCACCGGGGGTCACAATATGAATGTGTCGTGTGATACATGTTTTATGGTCCATTTTACATGACAAATGCGATTATGTGGGTTAGGCAGCCTTTGGGGCCAGCCTAGGTCACGTTTTTGTGAAGGTCAGGTCAAGGTCAGGTCAAATTAGGTCAAATTTCAAAGTTGATATTTTTGCATAAAATGGGTATCGATTCGATGCAGCTCGTCACGGGGAGTCTAATGGTGGTCTTCGTTTTGCTCTACGAGTTCTAGAATTGCCAAAAATTGAGTTTGACAATTTGACGTCATCATTTTTGAACAGTTTTTTCGCTATAACTTGGCCAAAAAACGAGGTATCGATCTGAAATTTGGTATGTAGATAGAAGACGGTAGGCACTATCACATATATTCCGGTTTTTTTTGAAACTCAAAAATTTTTTGGATTTTTTGGCGAATATATCCAAAAATATGCTTTTTTGATTTTTGGGGGTCAAAACTCAAAAATTTCATAAATTCGAGATAGCAGTTTTGTAGCCCTGTCAATTCTACACCTTTTATGTCTTGATCATTTTTCTGTATCTTCAAAGCTGTAGTCCTGACAGGTCTTCTTGCGAAGGTCTTTTTTCGGTCGAAAATGACAGAACATGACGTCACTCTGACGTCATTTGTGGCCAACCTATCATAGCCTCTGGAAAAATTTTTGGTCACAATGTGCAAAATTGATGCCCGGAGGGGTCCTGAAAGTTTGGTGGCGATATCTCCAGCCGTTTAGGAGATATCGACCGAAAAGGACAGGGGGGGGCCGTTTCGGCCCCCCCCCCCCTACGGGGCGCGGGTTAATCATCCTTTGTGCATTCTTCCAGTCTTGGGATGTCATCCTGAACGGTGACAAGACGCCGTACCCGACCTACTACTACAACGTCACCGGTTTCGTCAACTACTTCAACTACCTCTACCCCATCGACCCGAACGACATCAGCACCAACCCGTACAACGACTTCCTGAACCTGCCGGCCACGCGCGCCTCCATCCACGTGGGCAGCACGCCCTTCAGCGACGGCAGCGACGTCGAATCCTTCCTGCTGGCCGACATGATGAACTCGTCGAAGCCGATGGTGGAGGGCGTGCTCGACGGTGGCTATCAGGTGATGATCTACAGCGGCCAGCTGGACGTCATCATCGCGTACACGCTGACGGAGCAGTGGCTGGCCTCTGCCGAGTGGCACGGCGCTGAGCAGTACCGTACCGCCGAGCGCTACATCTGGCGCGAGGACGGCGAGATTGCCGGATACGCGCGCGTGGCCGACAACCTGCACGAGGTGATGGTGCGTAACAGCGGCCACATGCTGCCCTCCGACCAGCCAGAGTGGGGCTACGCCCTGATCACTAAGTTCACCGGCACTGATGGCACTGGAAAGGGCTTCAAAGCCTAATGCAGACTCGTACCTGATGCGTTTTTAGTCGCTATTACGGATTTGTGCACGTGAACCATAAATACACTACCATTTGTTCCACTGTTTCTTAGTTTTCTTACAGTCGACCAGGACCTCATTATACTTACAGGGCGTTCAGAGTTCAGTGAATAAGATAATATCGTATTATTTTACATTATTATTAAAAATATTATTTTTAGAATGTGGTCCTGCACTTGATTATTATGTTATGTCTGGTGTCTTTTGCTGCCACGGGTATAGTCCGAACACAATTCCTCTGAGCTCGTTTGTTTTGTTGGGAGCAAGCTCTTTCGGCCATCACAGAGCAATGGGACTCCTATTATAGGGTGTAGGCACTGGACTGTGCGTATGTACCACCGACAGTGAGCCGCAGCGGAAGAGACCGTCCGGTTGTGGCGGGAATGTCCCGATGGGACGCCCAAAGAATCACCCCAGAGAGGAAGTTGATGTGAACCTGTCCTCAACCACCGGTTGTCTGGTGAAATTGACCGCCAGCACGGAAAGGGAAGCGTGAGGGAGCTGCAGATTTGAACCCTGCTTTGGTCTGTGGAAGTGGTCAGGTCGGATCTTAACTCTGTTTTGGTCTGTGGAAGTGGTCAGGTCGGATCTTAACTCTGCTTTGGTCTGTGAAAGTGGTCAGGTCAGCACATTTGGTGGTGGTTGGTTGGATGCAGTGCGTGTACCGATACGCCATCTGGCCGGGCATGCCCCCACACCGCACAGGTGGCGCTATAGTACCTACTTTCTCATACCGCGCCGCTAACTCTTGGAACTCACTGCCAAAGATTGTGTTGGAGAGCCCGTCGATCGACAGTTCAAAAGCCGTCTGAGGACCCTTGATGACGTCACATGACCTTACAGCTTTGACTTTCATTTTCCTGGTGACGTCAAAGTGCCGGTCAAAGTAAAAGCCATGATGTTCACTGTCCTGTGTTTATGTACCTACATCTAGCTCAACGTTGAGCTTTTCAAATGACCGTGCAGACTTGGATTTCCCTAGAGCAGCAAGCTGAAAATGGTTTCGTATTGCGCTGACGACAATAAATTCGAAGAACGATTTTCGAATTGCTTGATTAAAAACAACACAGCATCCATCAAATGACCTTTACATGCGTCAAAGCACCTGACATTTTGTGAATTATCGTAACAATCGGTTGATGACCCATCAACGTCCAATTTCATAACCTCCACGCAACCAACACACCATGGCCCTCCAGCCGACTCTGCAACAGCAGAACGATGCGGAACGGGAAGCAACGAGGATGCAACCCCCCGCACTATCTCCAGCCGGACATATGACGCCATCACATGACGTCACAGGTCAGCGGCGCCGTCGTCACCGACAATAGGCCAGAGACTGTTGTTTCGCCGCAGCCGCAGAATCCGTGACGTCACGGATTCTGACGGCACGGCGGAAGAGACGGCGTGAACGGACGGACGTTGTTTGTGTGCTGCGTAATTTGAGCGTCCATATTGTTCTTCTTTCGACATACGGTGCCTCAACAATGAGTAGCCAGTTACGCCATTCGGTGTGACAGAGATAATGATAGAAATGCAGGTATAGAGGAGCCGGAACGCGTCAGTTGTAATCACAATTTGAATAGAATGCATTGTCAGTGGTTCGCGTTGACATCGTAGTGCTATTTAGATATTCAAACGCCAATAATGATCAATATAAGCACATCCTATGCATACAGGTAAACCAAGATAGCGTTGCAGAAAAAAAGGTGTGTTTCATGTCTCAGCAGTCATCTCCTTCGTATGGGGCATCCTTAGCTTACAGAAAGCTGCAAATCGATGCTCGTCTACCAAAGCAGTTACGTACTTGCACTCAACGAACGTATCAAGGAACACAACCGGTTGTGAAACAACATAACGAGTTTATTGTCTCATCACATCGCCAATGACCATGCATATCAGTCAAACACACGAAATCGGGGCGGACATAAATTGTAACAACGTCTGACGTTTCTGCTGATCTCCGAGTACAACTGATTCATACCCATATACTAAATCTCATGATGGATTAATCTTATTTTCATCAATTTCACTTCAAGAGGAATATCAGAGATAATCCTGCGAACAACGCGATGGTTGGAGATTCAAAGCAAGCATAGTGACGGCACACAATTATTGTAGGGTAACATTCAGAACTTCCATTTAGCATACAAATGATAACAAACAAGACACAATAAAATGGGGAAACATAAAAGAGTGGAGTCGACAGCGCAAACCTAACACATTCAGAGCAAAAGTGACAGGGGACACGATTTTTCTTTAAGTTCAGTTTCAATCTGGAAGCTCTAGCAAAACTTACGCGTCCTCCATATCGATTGATGAGGCAATAAATAAGCTAAAATTCTAACATAGTGCAGTATTTACAATGTTTGTCGTTTGAAAGTAGATTCTACGTTAATTACACTGAACAATGAACAGGATATTTGTATTTTTGTCACCAATTTCATGACACTTGCCAGTAAAATATCGGTTTGAAGGGTTCAAATTTACCTGGGGCTGATCCGAGATGATTCATGATCGTAGTCCCTTGTCCTCACTTTAACTCTTTGTCAATTTAGCAGCAAATTCATGGTCTGGGCGCTTGGAGCATACATTGAGATATTTTGCGCTGTTTTTCAACAACAGCACCTTGTCAGGCGGCTCAGGCTTCTGCCGGCTTCCAAATACCACCTTAGTGTCCCCAGTGTCCCGCTGACTGAGTTGAGCCACTCCGCTGAGAACTCCCTCCCCTGACGCGACCTGAGGTCAGTGACGTCATCACGACACCATCAACCTGAGGTCAGTGAAGTCGCAACGACGTCAGTGCCGGGAGCACTTGTAGCGCAGACTGCAGACGCCGCCGCTTTGGCCGTGGTACACTGCCTTCTGCATGCCGTGCAGCACGTTCGTGTACTTCTCCGGACTCACGGTGATGATCCTGTGGTACACAAGTAGAGTCAGTGGAACGATTCGGACGGGTGACGTTGGGACTATTAGGGCGTCTATAACTATTTCGTTAGACCTATTATTTGTAAGTTATATGCAATTTGTAGCAATTATGCGATTGTGAGGTAAAACTGTTTGTAAAAATAACGGTCACCTCATTATGTACTCCCGAAAAAAAATGTCTGCAGCTTTCACACCGTGCATACAGCATGCGAGTTTCACTCTAGCATATGATGATTGATTCAAGAAGCTGCGCAGTAATATGTGTCGAATATGGGTACGGAAACGTGCGTGGAAGAATAGATCGTGGCAACGGAGCTTCAATTCTTCAAAACCTAATTTAAAACAGTCGACACGCCAGAGTGGCTGCCCTCCTTGCACGACCGACTGGACGCATTAATGAACCAATTTGTGGCCGGGCGTCCCGTAACGTGATTCACCCTCCCCTTCCCCAGGGACCCTTCTCCATTGTCGTCGCAAGTAGTGTGCGTGTCGGAGAGAAAGTGTTCCCGTCGCCGCGACGACCCCGACAGCTCATCAAAGCGTCAAACGCCGACGACGCGGCGACGCTCGTGACGCTCCGGCGGCACAATGCGACGCACTTTTACTTTCGTCGGTATCGTCGCCCGACGGCTGACGGAGGGCTGGTGAGGGGAGGTGGGGGCACGGGCCGCGACCTGTAGCAGGGTGACGGAGAAGGGGATACTGACACGAGGTCACCGTCGAGCACTGCCCATCGCCACAGAGCGCCACTGACTGTGACGGTTACCGAGTGTGGGGGTAATCGTTCCGCCGTTGACCGCACCTTGTAACCCCATGTCAACATCGGGCGCGCCCGCACGCGCGCACGTGCGCAATCCCGTGGCTATGCCGCGCATTTATGACGCGCACGTGAGTCGTGGGGTAGCGCAATGAGATGACGACAAAAAGTTTGCCCCAGTTTGACAGTGGACTGGAAATGATAGCGAAAGCCTAACCAGCGTGGCTGTGACGCCGTGTGTCAAAAACTGACGAAGCCAATCACGGTTACCAAAGGTGGATAGGCTGAAATAACTATGTTTGTTTCTCAACATGAGCGCGCAACAGGGTTACAGTCGTGTGTGCATGGTAAATGGCATGTCATGTGTAGGTGCAACCCAAGCATAATAGAGGTTAGCTTGTTCGTTGCTCGTTATGTTCGGCGTGTGCTGGAAATCCCTATATGCTGTAATCCGTGCCATTTCGTTTGCCAATCGGTTGAATTGCTGGTAAGTTTATGGTACAGAGGTCAAGTGTGATCATTTTTACACCGAACAGCTTAGGAGCCATTATGCAATTACGTGCATAACATCAGTTACATTCATTTGGACGGAAGTCAGATAATTGCTGATCGTAGATCTACAAATAAGTGCATTTTGTTTAAAGTAAACAGATCTGAAATTTGAAAATTACAGGGTATTTTTGTCAGTGACCTGGCTCAGACACCTCACTCACTTGTCGGCCATTTTGGCTCCGCCGAGGAGGAGCTTCCCGGCGTTGATGTACTGAGCCGCCCTGTCGGGCTGCTCGCAGGCCACCCTGTTCAGGCACTCGTAGTTGTCGCTGCCGTCAGAGCTGAGCAGGTACGTCAGCATCAGCAGCAGGTCCTCGCGATCCAGCCACGAGTCGCTGGGGCTCGCGTCGGCCGACCTGACGAAAGATAGGGAGGAGTTAACGAGAGTCAGAGCTGGGTCAAGGAAGGTCAGAGTGGGGTCAACAGCGGTCAGATTCGGGTCAACGAGGGTTAGAATGAAGTCATTGGTGGCCAGAGCGAAGGCAGAGTGGTACAATTAGTCCAGTGACTGAATATTGAATTATAATTAGACGGCCGTCGCTACGTCACACATGACTTCATGAAGCATGCTCTTTGCTACCGCTTCACTAAAGTTGACAAAAATGGGCAGCTGTTCACTGCCCTCGGCTAGCCTAGCACCAACATCGCCTCGAAGGATGCACCCGATGTCACCCAGCCACTCTCACCTGCCGAAACCGCCGCCGAAGAGGCTGCCAAACCCGCCGCCGAACGCGAACATGCCGAACACGATGACGATGGCCTTGATGACGATGAGGATGATGAGGTTGGTGAGGTTGAGCGTGAGCACCTCGCTGGTGCTGGTGGCGCGTGCCACCACGTCTGACACCAGCGTGGCCAGGCTGGTGCTCTCGGAGAGAGGTGGCGGCCGTGGCAGGGGTCACCGTGAGAACGGCGGCGGCAGCAGCAGCAGAGCGGGGCAGAAGGCAGGCCTGGGGAGGACAGAGACACGTCAGTGGCAGCATAAGCAGCAGCAGCAGCGGGGCAGAAGGCGGACCCTGGGGAGAACAGCGACATGTCAGCGGTGGCCATAAGCGACAGCAGCAGCGGGGCAGAAGGCAGGCCTGGGGAGGACAGCGACATGTCAGCGATGGCCAGAAGCGACAGTAGCAGCAGCAGCAGCAGCAGCAGCAGCAGCAGCAGAGGGGAGGAGGGCACAGTCCTGTAGAACAGGCCACAAGTAGAGCACAGCTTGTCAGCTCTGATGCCTACTACAGTTTTATATTTGGAACGTGCATGATATGACGTAATATATGACGTCGTTTAGGTAGATTATGGTTATCAGAGTTTTTCGTCAATAATTTTTTCATAAAATTGAGCCAGCGAGTCAAAGGAAGCCACCATTGAACCCAGCAATATGCCGAATGGAGTGATATGACGTAGGTTTGGCCTCTTTCCACCACTTCGTGACCTGGACAGCTATGACCAGACTTGACGTTTCACCATAGATTTATGTTTCCCTAACAAAAAGCATAGCAGCAGTGAAGTGTCTGATCATTAAAACCCGGCAGTGCCAAATTCGTGACTCCGCGACCATTTTGGATTATTTTTTATTATTATTATTTCAGTATACCCGACAACCACAAAGTAGTGGGCATTACGTTGGGTAGTGGTACAATCTTCATACATACACATTACACAATACACATACAACACATATACACAATGTTCATAGGTACATCAATTGTTTACACACTCAGTCCACCATGAAGTTTTTGATGATGAACCATGAAGTTTTTGATGATGAAGTTTTTGATGAAGTTTTTCACTTAAACCCGGGCCCTTACCTTGGGGTATTTGGCCTGACCTCAGAGGCCAACAGTTGACCTGAGACCTCAACATCGGGTACCAGTCTCTGTAACTATATAACCGCTCACATGCTCATTTTTCCCCGAATATATGCATGGCTGATGGCTCAATTATAGTGCGAAGCGACGGACAACTCCACCCCTTCCCAGCCGAATGTTGAA